AAAGGGGCGGCCTTGCTCCCATGATGGGGGCAAGGGCTCCCATGATGGGGGCAAGGGCGCCCATTTCGTGGGCAATTCGCCCATTTCGTGGGCGATTCGCCCACTTTCAACGCGTTTTTGCGGGCTCGGCTTAGCATTGCACCTACGCTCCTTATTCCAGTTATGCTATTTCAGTTGAAAACGCTAAAACAGTTAGCTTAAAATCGTTTATTAATCAAGAAATTTTATACTTGCAACAAAAATACACAAAAAATGACAAAAAAAATTAGAGATGGTGTGTTTCGCCTTCTGGCTCGGCCTCAACCCATAACTGTAGAATTCTGCTCCATTGAATACCGTTCTCTCTCTTCTGTTTTGAATAGGCGCGCGGTGTGATCCATGATTTCCAGTGTCACCCATCTTGACTTGCCTCGAAGAACTGTCGCCTTCTTTGTCCGATTGCTCACTTCGTAGCGATCTGTAATAAAAAATTAGTCATGAGAGTAACACAAATTTCGAACAATCTCAATAGTTGCTAAAAACGGAACTGATGAAAATGACAGAACTTCCAGACATTTTTCTATTGTAAAGTCAAAGCGACTGTCTCAAATTCATTGGTATCAAAAGTTATAAACTTCTCCAAGTATGTCATTTTTATGATATTGAACTCCGAAGATATTGTTTTCTATTTTACCTGAGATCGACTTGAATCACCGATTTCCGCTATTTTCTCGTGCGGTTTGGGGGATAGCAACAGAGGGCGCTCGACTGGCAAGACATTATTTTTGGAATCTGAAAAATATAGGTTTAAATACACGAAAACTGTCAAAAAATCATCAACCTCGCTTGAGTCCCACGAAGAGAGATAATCCAGTGCCTATTCATCAGAATCTGCCCAACCTGAAATTCGACATTATCTGTGCTTTTTGACCGAGAAAGGGATTGGGATGTTTTAAATCGGCTAATAATCGAATTATATACGCATAAATATTACATTTTGAAAAGAAATCGAAACAGAAATCAAGAAAACAACAGGAAAACGTATAAAAAGGTTGAAAATATCGTGAGAAATAGAGCCGCTAAACAAGGCGCACCCCCGTAATTTCGGAGTGTCGCTGCCGGTAAAATGCGAGGGAAGTTCAAATCTGCGTCCTTGAAGCACACGATCTTCTCCATTCTGTATAAACTTGATGGGTATAATAAAAATTCGAAAATTCCTAAAATTCCTTTCAAAAAAAAAACTCAATATCAGTTCAAACTATTTTGCTACCGTAGACACTCTAATCGCACGCCACCCGAATCGTCAAATTTGAGACCATGTATCTCATTTTCTGTGAGAGATATCAAAAAGTGGTTAACTAATAAAATGTTGCTGATATCATGATAAACATTTTGTTAGTTGACAACTTTCTGATATCTTTCAAAAGAAGTAAGATACATGCTCAAAGTGGACGGTCAGGGTGGCGTTCTATTAGAGTGTTTACGGTATTATCAGTTTATATTATGTGCTACACATCCTGTTTTGTTTTTTTCTCAAACAGTCTCAACATCAAAAAGACAGTAGTCCTCACAAAAATCACATGTTAGCTTTTCGATAGTAACAGTTTTGATTTTATGGGAATATATTTCATCTTTGATTAGAACTTTTCTAATTTTAGTGACTGAAGTTCAGTCCCTGGCTGACTTCAAGAAATTTTAACCAGGGAAATGTATTTCATATTGTGACGAACTTTTTTCCAAAGTTACAATCAGGGGCTCTTCTATTACAGGTTTTACAGAAGTTTGATTCCATCGGTTCGGTTTTAAGTGACGGAAACCATGGACAAGGCTTGGGCGAGATCTCGCCCAACCCTCGACCACTTTCTCTTGATTTTTTTCGCGCAGCTATTCATCAAGACTGATGCCCACTCCATGCCACACCCTTGCCCAGCTGGGCAATTTGCCCAAACCAGTGTACGGGAGCGCCCAATCCTTGCCCAGCTGGGCAATTTGCCCAAATCAATGGGCGTGAGCGTCCAATCTTTGCCCAAGATTCCCTTAGCGTAATTTAAACATTGAAAATTCAGACAATGATTCGGGAATTTTAAAGTTGTAGATCTAAAATAAAATGTTTTAAACCTATTTCCTCAAAAAACACTAAATATTTTTTATGTAGATCACAAAACATTTTCAACAGAGCCCGCCAAAAACATCCCTCACAAAAGGGATTTTCTAATTTCATCGATTTCTGTCAATTTTGCAAATCTCCATATCGAAATTTTCGAGAACACCTTTTTTCCGTTTTTTTAATAGCAACGGTCTTGAGTGCCCTTTTGCAAAATACTGGCTGCCTGTCTGCACTCTCTTCATGCCCAATACTATTTTGTTTAATGTGTTTTTGAAGAAAAAAAAGCTGTGTGAGAACAAGGAAATTGAAGAGACGACAGAGATTTAAAATATGGTTTCTGTCGAATCGATTATTTGGATTTTCTTTCTTTGCCGTCTGTATTTTCTCCTCTGTAGATTGACATCTTCTTTATTGAATTCCAATTTTTCAGATGAGTCACGAGGAGTTGACGTACACAACTTTGGAAAAGTCTCCGTTATGCACCATAAATCCATACAATCAGGACACCAATACTCCGACAGATGGAATGATTGTGAAATTGGAATTTGATGAACCGGATGAAAAGTGGTCACATAATCCAAGCAACTTGGTAGGCTTATTTCTTTTTCTGAGAGATTTTCAAGAAATCAATTTTCCAGCAATACATCAAGCAAGAATCGCCATCAGAGAATTGCATGTCCAACGAACTAGCGCCTGCTGCTCAGAACAATACCGTCCACGGGGAACCCCATCAGAGCTACTTGAACAGTGTGATCATCTATAAACAGCAGTTCGCCAACTCCAGAGAAAACACATCGTACCCAGCGGCTAGTGGTAAGAATTCAAAGTTATAATTTTTTCTGAATGCCATAAAAACCCCATGGACCTTGTAGAATCCAATATAAACAATTTCATTTCCGTAAACTCTGTAAAAAAAGGGCCCCTGACTTTGAACAAATTTATCTCGATTCCTTCAAACGATGTAAAAAATTGGCCTACTGGTAAAATCTTAGAAATTTCATAAAAAGCATTTTATCAGTGTAAAAATTTTCGATATCTTTTATATGAACCGAGAGATATGAGCTCGAAGTTAGAGGTGCGGCTGGCCTTCTATTAGAGTGTTTACGGTAGTTTTTCTTGTTTTCGACGGTGCTCGTTTTTGGTTTCAACAGGACCTGCGGAATTCTAGGACCCTGAGAAACACAGTATTCCTTTTCAGCTTTATGCGGACCATATCCATATGTCGGCTTGGTTAACAAAATTCAACAGAAAAGTGAGATCTGTAAAGTTTGTGGAGACAAAGCCAGTGGGCTTCATTATGGAGTGATGTCGTGTGAAGGTTGTAAGGTGAGGAATAGTTAAAAGTCTGAAATTTTGTCTCAAATGAAACATTACAATGTTTTCTTTTTTGTGAAAAAAAAATGATAACGAGCTTTACCGTAAAACCTGAATAGGAAGGAACATCTCACTTTTCTCGGTTCCTGTTAAAGAAATCAAAAATGTGTCAACTGATAAATTGTTTATTATAATATTTCAAACATTTTATCAGTGGACACTGTTTTGATATCTTTCCTAGGTGCCGAGATCATTCAGCTCAAACTTGAGAATGCTTGGGCTCTTATTCTTATTTGTATTTTTGGAAAATTAAGTGTTTAATTAACAGTTAGGCTAATTAGTTTTTTTCAGGGATTCTTCCGTCGAATGAAAAGCCGTGAAACTGATTACGAATGTCGCAGAGTGAAATCATGTGAAATAAGCCGTGAGAACCGTATATGCCAGTATTGTCGATACCAAAAATGTCTCCAAGTTGGGATGACAAGAGATAGTGAGTTTTTTTTCCCATACTGTCACGTTTGAGCGTAATTATCTCGGTACTGGTACAGGATATCAAAAATTTGTCAACTGATAAAATGTTTGGGATATCATGATAAACAATTTACCAGTTGATAACTTTTTGATATCTTTGACCAGTACTGAGATAAATTGGCTCAAAGTTAAAAGCATAGTTGCAAGCGCGCCGGGCCGGGCAGATGGCGGGTCGGCTGATAACTTTTTCCCTAGAACAAGATATTCAGACGGTTTCGGTACCACATGATAGATCTCAACAGGGCCCATCACGCCTATATCATTCGAGCCGGATCCCGGTCCAATAACATGTCGAAAAATGTGTTTGAATGACAATTTTTGACCATTTTGACAAAAAGCAGATTTTTTATCATTCAAAGACATTTTTCGGCATATTATCGGACCGAAATCCGGCTCAAATGATATAGACGTGGTGGGCCCTGTCGAAACCTATCATTTGGTATCAAACCGTCTGAATATCTCGTTTTAGAAACAAGTTATCAGCCGGCCCGCCACCTGCAAGGGGCCGGCCCGCTTGCAACTATGGTTAAAAGTATACTTTCAGCCCTTCATGTGGCACGAAGACAAAGATATGTTGCTTCAAAAAAACTCCTACCCGCGGCGGATCTTGAATTTCTTGAAAAAGCCAATAAAATCGTTGTTCTCCACATGAACACCTGCAATTATAAGACTGAAACAGTGAAGAAATTGGCAAAAAAGGAAATCGGATTGGCATTCGGAACAGACGACAGGTTGAATAGACTCAGCGCTTGGAAATTCTATTTGCCATTCATGGATAAGGAAATTCAAAATGCAATCTGTTTTGTTCGAGATCTTCCAGAAATGGGATTCATTTCAAGTGTTGAAAAAACTGCAATTCTTAAAAATAACATTTTTTGGAATCTATCTGATTCGCATCATTCGTTCATTGTCTATTGATGGAATGATTCTGCAAGATGGTCGTTTTATCAACATGAAAATTCTTCGACTTCTTTTGGGAGACGTTGCCACGGAGATGACCGCTTTGGGAGACTACTGTAGTCGTAGTGAAGCTGACGATAGTGCTTATGGACTATTGGCTGCACTTGTTTTGGTCCAACAGCTTCCATTGGATTATCAAAATGAACTGTCGCTTGAAACTGTAACTGGAATGGTGGAGACTCAAGAATATCTTCGAATTTCAATGCAAAAAAATATGCAGTTTCGAAAAAATAAGGAAATTACTTTGAAACAGTTGAACAATGTGCTTGTTGGTGTCAATAATATCAGTGAGTTTTTTTTTAAATTATCGATTCGTGAAACTTGAATTAGAAGGGCTTTAAGCCAATTTATCTCTATTTCTATGCAAGATATAGAAAACTGTAAACTGATAAATTATTTATCATCAAATCACCAATATTTTATCAGTTGACAAATTCTTGGTATTTCTTACAGGAGCCGAGTACATAGTTTCAAATTAAACAAACGATGAAAATGCTGTATTTTAGCCGAACCACTCCGAAATACATTTTAGCATACGTGTAATCCGGGCCTTTTGCCGGGCCTTCGCGGGCCCTGCCAAAACTTCTTTCAGAATCAATGTTTGCGAACCAACTCAATCAGGTATGATAGAACTCCACGTGTA